AGGTAATAGGCATTCGTTATTAGTAGCTTAACGTTTATTCGCTTAAAAATAGCCTTCTATATCTCGGACGTAAACTTCGGATCTCTATCGGAGATAATTACGGTTAGTAGACCCTAATTGTATTAGAATAATTCGTCGAGTAGACGGTTAGCCTAAGCCTCCGTAGAGTACGTATCGTTACTAGTAATTAGGAGTACCTATTTCGTATACTTATCCGTTACTATAAGTATAGCGTTAGTTTCCTAAGCGGAAAGGGATACTATAAAGTTAATCGTAATTATATAGAAGGGTACTAGCGGGGATAGTATTAGGTTTAAGGACCTATACGGCTTATATCGCTTAGTCTATAACTCTAAGTAGTCCTAATAGTAACTTAGATACTTTTTTAGTGTCTTAGCTAGTTTCCGGATATAGTACTAGTTATTTATTTAGGTATAGGTACGATAAAAGCCGATATAATATTAGTTATCGTATATACTACTAAAAATGTTACCCTCTAATACCTTTAGGATATATAATCGTCGGTCGCTAGAGTAGGGCTTATCGAGCTATACTAGGCCTTCGTCGTCGACTAAGAAGCTTATAGAGCCTAGTTCCGCGTTCTATACTATAGCCTTAATATTACTCTAGTACTTATCTTCTTCGTATGCTTCGATAAGTTATTACTTAAATACGTCGTCTATTTCTAGTATTATTACTCCGTAAACTAGTTTGTCGAATACGTCGCTCTTCGGGAGATAATCGTCTATCGTTTCTAGGCGCGATAAGGCGTCTAGTACGATATATTCTCGCCCTAGCTTATAGACTACCTTTAGTAGGAAAAGGGAAAGATATTACGACGATCTCGTTAGTCGGTTATTAAGCTTATTAACTAATAACGAAGTTAAGGCAGTCTAGCTTACGATCCCTAGCGTCGCTACGTAATCCGTAAGTACCGTTACTACTAACTCGTATACCTCGACTATCTATCGTACGCGTTTAATCGTTTATACTAGATAGGCGACCTCTAATTCGGTTAGCTAGTACCGTCGCTCTATACTAGAAAGAGTTTTTAATAAAAACAAAATCGGTTATATCTTTGTCCTACTAGGATTTTTAGTAATAGCGTCGCCCTTAACGTAGGCTACTATTATACTAAAGCCTCGTTTCTTAGACGCGTCGATATAGATATATAGTAGCCGGTTTCTCGCGAAATAATAGAGCATCGTTAGCTTAGCAAAGGCCTCTTATAGGGCTTAGAATATAGCTAGTCGTTCCTCTATTTCCTCGATTAGTATCGTTACTATATAATATCGACGTGCCTAGCTAGTAGTAGGTACGCCCTTTAGTCTCTTAGTCTTAATCTTCTAGAGCAGTTCCGCTAGTTAAGCGTAGTACTTAATATACGTTCTTAGCTATCTAGTTAGCCTAAGATAATACTCTAGATCCTTTAGCGTTTATAGAAACTTAAGCTTAGTAATAGCCGCTAATTTGTTAGCTAGCGTCGCGGTACCTAAGGTATCGACTCGTTACTCTAGTAGCTAGATCGATAGGTACCCGATAAAAGCCTTTTCGGGTACTATAGTTAGCTAGTATCGGTTTAAGGCATCGAATACCTAGTCTAGATATTATAGGTATTCCTCTAGCGTCTTACTATAGATTACGATATTGTTAATAAACGCCTTAGCGAACGCGTTAAGTTCTTCTATTCGTAGGATTCTATTAATCTATCGCTATATATAGGGCGGCGCGTTCTTATAGCCTATTACGGCGACGTTGTATATCTCCTAGCCTCTATAGGAGACTATAGAAAGCTTATATCGGTCTTCCGCTTTTACTAACTACTAGTAGAAGAAGGACTTTATATCGATCGTAGAAATGTATTTAGCGCCTTAGATAGCGGCTAAAACGTCGCCTTATAATAGTATTAGATAGGCGTCTATTATCGTAATACGGTTAAGTCCGCGGATGTCGATAACTACTCTACCCTTACGGCTATTCTTTAATTCCTTCTAGACTACGAATATAGGAAACCTAAAAGGTATTAGTTCCTTCGTCTAGGATATCTATCCTTAGTTATATAGCTTATCGTAAACGCTATCGATAATCTCTCGTTCCTTTAGGCCTATAGGATATACCTTATACGCTAATTTAGCGCTAGTAGCCTTCTAATCGCTAACTAGGGGGATCGTTATCTAGTCTTCTTTAGGAACCTTAGTAAAACAGCTATTATTGATAAATAACTGCTTATGTTTCTCTAGTAAGGCGTTATATTTAGCTCTCGTTTCGTCGTCGCTATATAGTATAGCGCCTATTAGGCCTAGCTTTTCCTTCGCTCCTAGTTGCGCTAGCGGCGGCGACTCGTCGTTTTCTTCCTATTCGGTAGTTACTATAAAATATAGTAATACTCGAGCTCGTCCCTTCTAAGCAATATTTATCGTTATCGCGGTACTATTTAGGAATTGCATTTGCTTATTAGTAAAAGATAAGACTAACTTCTCCTTTTCTATTAAGCGCGTTCCTAATAGTATACTAGCCGGTAGGCTATTAATTAAGTAGGCTCTTATCGATATAGTAACCCTATTATTAAAAACTATATTTATAGGCATCTTATTAGATAGGCTCGTAATCGTATTGCCTACTCTTTATATCCGCTAGGGGCGCGTTACCTTTAAGAGAACTCTATTAGGGTATTACTACTAGGCTAATATTCGATCTATAAGAGTAATTAGGTTACTACTATCTAGGTATATTTCTATTACTATATTGTTTATCTAAGCTAATACTATTACGTATCTAGTAGTTATACCCGTTAGCTTATTAGATCTAGTAGCCGCTAGGATTTTTGTTCTCGTCTCTTATAGTACTTCGTTTATAAATACGAATATAGCTTATTAGACGTCTCGAACTCCTAGCGGCATATAGTACAGGTATACTTATTATATACTAGACTTAGATATCCTACGTTAAGAATATCTACTACGTTAGTATTAGCGTCGTTATCGCCTCCTTTATTAAATAAGTATTCGTTAGAGTCGACGTAGTTAGTATTCTACTATTCCTTGCTCTCTAACTCTTCTAGGTTCTCGTCGACCTAATAAGAGTCCTACTTCTTACGCTAAGTAAAGGGCTTTATAGGCTAAGGCTTAGCCTTATCGAAGGTCTTCTTAGCGCCCCTTAATTGCGACTTATCGCTTGCTAATTCTTAACGGTCTTAAGGCTTCTAAAAGCGTTAGTCGCTTCGACCTTAGTTATAGCGAGGTAGCAGCGGCTATAAAGAACGTATAGAGTTAGTTTAAGGCTTCCTAGAGCCTTCCTATCGATCCGTCTATTAACAGCTTAGTCGGAAGTCTTAATCTCGATTGCGCTATAGTTACTTACCTACTAAGCGGATAGGGAAAGGTCGCGATAAAGAACCGGTAATAGCGGTATTATATCGGTTTAATCGTTATACTAGTTTAGCCTACGCCGGTTGCTTTTCGGATTTTCCTTAAGCCTCTATCTAAATAATATAATAGTATCCTTTTCTCTTAGTAGCCGAATACTATATCGTAGCTCTATATCGATATCGTTCTATATATACGTTAGCTACTAGCTCTTATTAACTAGGCTAGTATTACGTATATAGCGTATTACCTCGCTAGGGTAGGTATCTATACTACGTCGGTTACCTACGTCTAATAACATATATTTAAGCCGCGTTAGCTCGTTTAGCGACTCCGATAGTAGCGTCTAGAAGTTCTCTCGTAGCATCGTAAACTAATAGTCTAGACCTAGTACGTAGCGAAGGCTCTATTTCGCTAGGTTATTAAGCGTATTAGTATACTAGGTTAAGGCTGTTCCTCGTAGTAGTACGGGGATTCTAGACTTAACTCGATCGTTACTATAATATACTATAATATCCTTAAGTCGTTTAATAAAAATATTAATATTTTAAAAGAAGGTATTAGATCCTATAATACTCGGGTCGTCGTCTCTCTTTAGTAGGTCTAGCTAGAAGAAGCTAATTTCCTAGTCCTATATTTAGTCTAGGTTACTAGCCTCGTTAAAAATAGGTATACTATTTCTATTTCTATTACCTACTATAGGAGCCTAGCCTACTAGTGCCTAGGCAACTACTGCCTAAATAGTAGCTATTATTTCCGCCGATATAACGTCTCTCTATTCCGCTATAGTAGGAGGCTAGACGCTCGTTGCCTAAGTAGTTACTATTATAGATTAAGCCGTCGACGCGGTCGAAAGTTATATATTTATAGTAGAGGTCGCTACTATCGTTATCGTATTAGGCGATTACTATAGAGGCTATTATAACTGCTATAGCGACCTAGAAGTAGCTGCCCTTAGTTTAGAAGGTAACTTCCCCTTTATAGGTAAGTGCTTTCTAGACCTACTAGCTAAAGTAGAAGTAGTCGTAAATAGCGAATTTAGCTTATATCTTCTTTTATAAAACTATAGAAACGAGTTCTATATAGGCTATCGGTATACTAGTAAGTCGAGCTACTTAGAGGGATAGGTCTCTATCGCCTAAAAGTCCTATAGAAAGCGTTCTAGATAAGACCTAACCTTTGCGTTAGTAATCCGGTTAGTTTATATATATATAGCGAAAGCGCGGTTATTATTTATAGAGTTTATATAGATATACGTTACTCCGTATATACGGTCGTAATAAAGTAGTAAGGGGAAGTAGTTAGGCTCTTAGTCGGATTAGCCTAATCTAGTTACCTCGTTCTAGTAGCGTCTTAAATAACTCTTAGTAGTACGAGGGTTTAGTACGAGCGAAGCTACTAATTGTTATAAAGTTGAGATTAAAGATAGTTATATAAAAGGGGAAGGTTAATTACAGAGATAGAGCCGTTGCTCCATTAGTTAGCAGACCCCCTGGCTGTTCCTTCTTCCGTAACACTACCGGAACTTTTAAAGGAGTTCCCAAATTAACGGAACATTAATTGACCGCTGCCGAGCCTGAACCCACCGTGGACGCCTCTGCAGAGAGCTCCAACATGAACATTTTCTGCGCGACCATGGCCACAGCGGCAGAGTCTTCTGTGGCAAGCCTTTCGCTGAGCGAGAGCGCATACACGCCGTCTGCGAGCACAAAATCTGGCAGCTTTGCCTTCCCAGCATACACCTCCTTTCCGCCCTTCTACACGCTCCAGCCAAATCTCACGACACGATCGCGCCAGCTCGAGCTCTGGTCTGCACTGATTGCCTCTTACTGCGCCCACCACCGAATCTTCCGCTTGGCTCTCTCTTCGCCGCCCAGCGACCTCTTCTCCAACACCTCCATCAAGCGCTCGCTCAAGCCAGCAGACATCCGCGCCGTTCTGGAGCATATGAGCAAGCCCGAAAATGGTCCGAGGGCAGAGTGGATAGCGCCGACTTCACGCAGCGAAACGAGCAATACCTGCTACATCTACTGGAAGACTCCATCCGAGTGGGCAGATACGATCTACAACTTTGTCGAAGAGACCGGCCAGAAAGGCGCTGTCTTGACCATTTACGAACTTCGAGAGGGCGAATCGAGCACGGGCAAAGAGTGGCAGGACATTGATGAAGCGCTGCTGAGAAAAGTTCTGAACGTCCTGGTGAAGCGCGGCAAGGCGCAAATATTTGGTCAAGAAGAGAACGCAGGTGTCAAGTTCTTCTAGGAGAAAGGCCGAGGAATCAAGTCCTCATAGCATTTGTTTCAACCAGAACTGTCGCTGGACAAGGTCGGCTCTTGTTGAGAGATATCAGAAAGGTGGATGGTACTGCGTCGCTGCTATGGACACTGCTGCAACCCTTCCCGAAAGGCCAAAGCCGAAGGGAAAAGGAAAGCAGGCCTCAAAGCGGAAAGCACGTCAGTCGACAAATACCGAGTCGGAGAGACCGCAGTCAAAGAGGCCTAAAGCATCATCATCTCGTTCTCGCTCGCGCAAACGTGCTATCAAACAGGAAAGCGACCACGACATGCAGGAATCGAGCTCAGAAGACGAACCTACCAGGGTCAAAGCCACGCTGTACGATGCGGTAGCTGGTCGCGTTGGTTACGAGGGCTTTCTTCTGAACAAGGGTGGAAATCCGATGCCACCTGACCAAGTCCTCTTCAGCCGTGCTGATGCTCCTGTGCGATACCAGGAAGACGACAAGTACTTTGCGCATCGCCATTTGCCATCTGATCAACGTCTGCCAGATTCCGATCTTCTGAAAGCGATTCATTCATATGCTTCAGACTTCTATGGTTCAGGCAAATCGGGGAATCCTCGTTACGACTTCAAGAGCCTCGATGAGACAGCGCTTCTTGCTATGGGAATTCTTATCGAAGAAGCAGTTGCCGAGTCACTGGGGAAGACTGGTGACCTAGCATTTGTGGAAGGCCCACAGCGCGAAGATATGCCTTGAAACAGCTAACAAGAGCGAGTCTCGAGACCACCGTCACGCTCAAGGTTGGATTTCATTTCGCGCTGCATGCACTCTACGGTATGTAGTATGCCAGGTCGTTGCCAGGCTCCAGCTCATATTGCGTAAAGCCATTCCCCAGGAAACGCCACCTGTTTGCGCTCCTGTAACGAATGTCAAAGTCTTCGCCTCTGAGCTCGGCATTGACTAGTTTCTCGTACAGGATGGCACTGCCAGCGAATGTCGCAGTCACGCGACCGTTTACGCGGTTCGCCTTGTACCACGAACGGCAGCCTCCTGTCCCTGCGTTTAGAAAGCATCGTCAGCATGACTTCCTGGTCGAATCCGCAATAAGAATCTACTCACATGTAAGAGTCTTGTGGATTTGGTCGCTGTAGCGACAAAACTCGTCCACGACTTCCTGCTTCGGCGCAATTGATGCAATATCTTCATGGGCCACTTTCCCAATCCACCGCAGCATCCATTCCGCGGACCAGTCCAATGAGAATATCAGACTTCCGTGGCCAACTGTGGCATTCGGGCCCGTGAAGAACATGTTTGGCATGTCAGGACATGCCAGAGAGATGTAGCTCTCGGGTTCATCCTTCCACTTCTCTGCAAGACTGATTCCATCTCGACCTATCAGCGGGAAAGTGGGTACTTGGCTGATGTCAAACCCGGTCGCGCAGACGAGCACATCGCTTGGGTGAAATGTTCCATCCTAGGTATGTATACCATCAGCCGAAATGCTTACAATCTCACTGTTCGTCAAGTGCACGTTGGACTGCGTGAAGGCCTCCAGATATCCGCTTCCCGGCGTTATTCTTCGACATCCCAGCTCATACTTAGGAATCAGCTTCTCGCACAGCACTGGGTCATGGTTCAGCTTCTCCGCCATCTGCTTGGTTGCAAACTCTGTCATCTCAGCATTATACTCGGAGCCCTTTCTGAAAAGCCTGAAATTCCTGTTCATCGTACCCTGGATGTTCTTGCGACACTTCTTCATCTCTTCCGGATCACGGAGCTTTTCTTTCTCCTCTGGAAGATATTCCGGGTTCGGATTTGGATCATCTCTACCTATGAGCTTCGCAGGCTGATGGCGTGAGACTTTACAAGTCGGGCCTCTTTGGAAAGAGGTGACAGTCGTGCCTGGAAGTTTCGCCATTTCTGGGAGTATCTGAATCCCACTAGATCCATTGCCAATGACCATTCGCCACCGGCTCATGGTGACCATTTGCTGCGCCATTTATCATCGACATGTCTGCATTCCTCAAATTTTGAAGACAACGGTGAATTTAACAGAGCAATCTGAGGTTTACAGCATCTCTTTCACTCGATGAATCTGTAGAGTTCAACCTGCCGTGCTCGGACGCCTCTTTGAGATAATGCATTCGGAGCGAGCATTATTACAGACTAAGGTCCTTATTGCTCACACCCTACGCACAACACGAGATTTATGCCCTTTTATATAGCATTATCTAAGATGTGAAACCGCCCGACTAGAGTTGCTTGTCCGTCTCATCTTTGGTCTTGTGCCGTTGCGACTCCAATGCCGAGAAGCAATCCGCAATCCCAGGCAGTCGGCAACCTCGGCCCAAGACTTCCGCAGCTCGCCTGTGCTCTGCCAAGCCATATCCATCTCCCTGTGCAAACCGACGACCAACTCATCTCAGTGACCTTCCGAATCTCATAGCCTGGAATACAGTAACGAAGAGCCATGTCGTCCTACTCTGGCTCGGCCGGAAAGACGAAGCACTTCCAGATCCAGAAGCACAACCTGCCCGCCTCTCACATTCGCGAATACCCTCGGGCAACGACCGACGACCAGGAAGAAGTCGTTCGTCTTGCAATCAAGCAGTACACTCCTATCAAGCCGGCCGGAGATGGGAGGAATGGGGTGACCATCATCGGTGGACATGCGAATGGATTTCCGAAGGTGAATACTGATGAGGCTATATCGCTATCTATGCATTATTGTGAAAGGCAGAGTTTGAGCTTAATTCTTTCGACGGTTAGGAATTGTACGAACCCTTATGGGACGACCTTTATGAACGACTGCAGAAATCAGGTGTCTATATCAGCAGCATATGGATCGCAGATGTCTCGCATCAAGGAGATTCCGGAGTCCTGAACGAGGACATTCTCGGCAATGATCCATCATGGTTTGGTGTGCAGACTACCAGCTCTAAACACGATTCTGTGCTGATTTTCCATCCTCAGATCACCCTAGAGACCTTTTCCTCATGATCAATCATTTCCGAGAGCACATGAAACGCCCTATGATTGGTATTGGCCACAGCATGGGCGGTGCCCACCTTGTCAACCTCGCACTTATGCATCCACGACTATTCACGACGCTGATCCTGATTGATCCCGTCATCCAAAGAAACCCATCAGTACGAGGCAATTTCGGCCCAGCTCGAGCTTCAACCGTCCGAAGAGATCGCTGGGCAAGCAGACAAGAAGCAGAAAGCAAAGCCAAAAGATCCAAAATGTTCCAAACCTGGGATCCCCGAGTCCTAGAAAAATGGATGCAACACGGTCTCCGCGAACTCCCAACACCCCTCTACCACCCGAAAGAACCTCAACCCTCCAAACCCCTCCCAGCAGATCCCATCCTCCCCCAACCACCCTCCTCCCGCGAACTAACCCTCAAAACCACAAAATTCCAAGAAGTCTTCACATTCCTCCGCCCCAATTTCGCCACAAAAACCCACCCGGACCCAGAAAACTTCCCCAACCCGGAAACCCACCCTGACGTCCCCGCCTGGACATCTCCCAAATCCCCTTTCTACCGCCCGGAACCCCTCGTCATATTCACCCGCCTTCCAAATCTCAGACCGAGCGCGTTCTATATATTCGGCGAACACTCGGATCTATCGGCGCCGCTTCTTCGCGCGGATAAGGTGGCGCAGACGGGGGTTGGATGGGGAGGGTCTGGAGGTGTAAAGAAAGGGAGGGTGAGGGAATATGTGTGTCAGGGAGTGGGACATTTGATTCCGATGGAGGTTGTGGGGGAGACGGCGGATGTTGCGGGTGAGTGGGTTGTAGAGGAGTTGAGACGGTGGAGGGAGGGGGAGGAGGAGGAGAGGAGGGAGTGGGGGAAAGTGCCTAAGAGGGAGAAGGCGGTTTTTAGTGAGGAGTTTAAGAGGCAGATCTTGGGGGATTGGTTGGAGGGGAAGAAGGGAGGGGATGGGAAGAGTAAGCTTTGATGAGTGGGAATCTCTGTCTGTGGGTAAGGGATTTCGAAATGAGCATGCGCGCTATGGGCGGTTTGAAGAAGCTACTTCGAGAATGATGCCGAACCGCTCGCAGTCCTCGTCCATTCCGAGGTCTGGCGTTTCATGCTTATGCAGCAATCGAGATTGTCTTGTCCGGTGGTGATGCCACGCAGATCCAAGCAGAATATGCAGACACCAGAGCAGAAAAAAAGAGGCAAGACGCACCACCACAATCCCCTCAGACCTCCCCACCCTCATCCTCATCCCCACTCGACCGCCCACCCCCCTCCATCTCGAGGCACGCATCCTTAACCCTCCTCCTCTCCCGCCCAACCGCCCTCTTCAACCGTGAAAACTCATACTCCACAACCATCCGCCTCCTCTGCACCAACCTCTCCTTCACCTCAATAGCCCTGCACTCAACCACCAAATCCAATTCCCAAGCCTGAAACCACCAGAAATCCAACATATGAGATTTCTCCTTCAACCGAGCCACCAATCTCCTGGAATCTGTCAAAATCCGATCGAGTTCTTTTTCGTAGAGGGGGAGGGCTTCTTTGCGGATGAGGCGACAGGTGTTGAGGAGAGGGAGGCGGAAGGAGGTGGGTTTTGTTTTGCGGCGTTGGAGACGGCGTTGGAGGTCGGTGAGGGTGAATTCGTAGATTATGAGGCGGAGGTCGGGGGGAAGGGCGAGGAGGGGGGAGGTGGTGGTTGTGTTTTGAGACATGGTGGAGTGGATGATCGGTCAAGATCTGGGGATTCAATGTTGTGGTGTGCGATGGAGCGGAGTTTCGATGCGATGTTGATGTTGTCGGAAAACGTGGTGATGTTTGGCAATGGAAAGGATTTTTTGTATCCAGTTGTGATGTCGCAAGATCTCGCCGGGCTTGGTATGTGATGGCACAAGTGAGCTTTGCAAAGTGATGGTCAAAGCAGCAGGCTCATCTGTCAGATAAGTAGCGGTGAGTTGATGTGGCAGCCTCAAGAAGTGAAGCGATTGAGGACTCCATCCCGTTCTGTTGGGAATCATCTGCCTGATGGGAGGAACAATTGTCTTGTGAATCAGAGTGAAATGGAAACGTGACGCTTTCTAGACAGTTCTCGGACATCCACAGCTCGATGAGTGGTCTTTTGCGTTTGGAATTGCGATTCAGCATTGATCTGCTCGACTTCATGATGATCTTCTCAAACTCGGCATCGAGAATATCTTTCGACGCGACCCAGCATGGACCGGCGGCTCGCAGGCCCGACAGAGCTCACTTCATGTGAGATGATCCACAGCCAAGCTCAGTGCGAGAACCTCTCGCTCATTAGTAGCCAGTATGACGAGTTCCATGATCCCACGTTTTCTAGGTTTTCGACGTGGTGGTCGAGTGCCTATCCGCGGACAACCGTTGAGGATAGAGATGCGGAAGCTTACCTGCTGGGGTACAGATTACGGATCTCGTACTGATTATGTTTCAGCGAGTATCTAGTCTTGAATCTCGAGCTGTAGCTCGACTACTCGACGAAGAAGTGTCATCCAGGACAATTGGGCCCACAGCCGGGACCATTTCAGATTGCGAGTTTCGGGGCATTCTATAAGGCGATCGTGATCAGTCAGAATTCTGGCCAGCTTCTCGGTATCGTTTCTTGATGGTGTTGCGATGGCAAAGGAGGGTCACAAAGGAAAGCGGAGCGGAGAGGAGGTTCCAGGTACATCTTCCTAGGGATGCACATGTTGGTGGTCCAGGGCATGACTTGCTGACGAGCTAAACGGAGCGGAAGGGTATTGCTGCCTGCGGGTCAAGTAAACAGCCAATGCCAAGACGGCTCTGTCGCTGCAGAATTCTCCACCTTCGTCTTCTCTCTTCCTCGTTCTCCACATGCCATTTTCAACTGTTGAACTGTTGAACTGGAAGACCTGAGAGCCGGTGGGCTTCTGCCGCAGCGCGCACGATGTCCCAGAACCTCGTGGACTGTGGTGCGGTGCTTCTCTCCACATATTGAAAGAAGCGAGCAAAGCTCAAGAGAAGATTTAAGGCATGGGATCATCCACCTGCATATTGACTTCAACCTTCATTCATGGTAACATCTCCCGCTTGTTCAGCTTGCTCTCCTTCGCCCATCCACCACAGAGTAGGTCCTGTGCCGGTATGCATCATGCTGCCTCGAACAAGATACGGCGGTGCCTTAGACGCCAAATCTTCCTCTTCCTTTGATGCGTAGCTTTGACTTCTCAAAGCATCGGGAGAAATGTCGTTCCACGACTCCTCCTCAATACGGACCATGCAGCTTTCGGCGTTGTCAAAGAAGAACTCGTTGACGCCACCCTCGCCATCGTCCGCTCGCCACACATACGCCCAAGTCCCGTTATCATCCTGCTCCCATTTTGTGTTGTCGAAGAGAGTTTCCGGCGGAACGACCAGATCTTCGTAAAAGTCGACGCTCAAAGCGATGCCTGTCATATTGGATTGCGTGATGGTTGCTCGGATAATCTCGCCTTTGAATGGTCGGAAGACGATCAAGCGGAAGTCTACATTAACGTTGACGATTCCTGTGCCATGGCCGATGAGACCTTCAGAAGCACTGACGAGAGAATGGAAGCCCACGCAGAGTCCGACCTTGTGGATGACCTTGTCGGCATATTTGGCGTTGATGAAGTCCTCGATGGATCGTATGCTTGGCTTGTGGAAGTCAGTCGGGTGGATCTGGACCACGTCCGCCAGCGTCACCTTATCAAAGTGTCAGTATGCCTGGCACAACTTGCGTAGAATTCTGCATGTGCGTACCAGCGTGTACATGGCGAGAATCGGCGCGGAGGCGACTACGATCTTTGGTGTTGAGCAAGCTTCAGATATTCGTCACGAGATCAAAGTCTCATGACTGCCGCTTTGGGCGAGATATTTCATGTGAGTCGTCGCGCTCGTGAAGACGTGAAGAGCAGTCCAAATTTAGACCTGCCTTACACTTTGACTTTGCACTGGCCAATGGGAACTGTCGCCATGTGCAGGGGTCAACCTTACGTCAGAACATTCATCCATCGCAGCGGATTCCACTCTGTAAGAATACACAGCAAAGTCGCAATCATGTCACGATAGCAGTACGGAGTATGCCATCGAACTGCGGTTCTGAGAAGCTCAATCGAGTGTGAGAAATGGCCGGCTTTTCATTTCCACCACCGCCTCCTCCACCGCCGACAACGAATACTTCACAGCAAGCTTCTCCAAATTATCCTTCTGGCGGCTACGACGATCAACGAGGCCGCGGGCGTGGCAGAGGCAGAGGCAGAGGCAGCAATCGCGGACTTCATCGCAGCGGTGGAGGTCGAGATGCACAACTTCGGGCTGGCTCCAACGACCACTATCGTGACAGCGCGAAGCCTCAATATGGGCACGATAGCCAGCAACAGCATGGCGCTGCACAGAGGCAGTCATCGTTTGCTGGGCCTCCAAGAACCTTTGATGGCCACAAGAGGAAGCTGGATGTGCTTCGTACCAACGAGCCACGAAAAGTGGCCAAGCAAAGCCCCCCAGCAGCGCCTTCAGTTCCCAGCTTTGGTGCGCCACTTATCTCGCCTCAATCACATCACACCCCCAGAGTACAGCCTCAGAACAAGTCGTTAGGTCTCACTCCTGGCGACGCCGATCCAGTCTACTCTTCCTCGGAAAGCGACAATGATGACGAAGATGTCGACGAAGAAAAGCTGTACCAAGCTCTTGGTGAAGGCCTCACATTTGAGCACAACGGCAGCATAATGTCTCTGAATAATGTAGCCGATCTGGCCGAGTGGATTCAAGAGCGCAAAGAGAATTTCCCGGCCAGATCCCGCCTTCCTGAGAAAGAAGAAAAGAAGCGCCGCATAGGCGCAGAGCGTAAGCGGCTTCTGGATGAAGCTAAAGCTGCACTTGGTGATCGAATTGTGCGTCAGAGGCCACAGAAGTTGAATCGACGAGGAGAAAATCGTGCGCCTCAAAATGCTGGGAGGAACACTGCTTCTCAAGACAGGCCGCAAGGAAGAAGGCCTTCTCAGGGAGAGGTTGCTGAGACCAATGGATCTGACCAATCTGGCGCCACTCGCCTAGGGCAGGATATATCGGAGTCTGGCTCACAAATTCGACCCAACAAGGCAGTGACCGAGCTTTCCAGGCCTGCTTTGTCGTCCGTTTCACCTTTGAGCACCCTCGAGCCAAGTGGGTCGACTGTCAAAGGAAGCTTGGAGAACTCCGAGAACAAAAGAAGCGATTCAGAAGCACGAATCACGGCAAAGAATAACGAAATGCCAGAAGATGACGATACCTCCTCGATCTCCTCGTCCTCTTCTTCCGACACCTCTTCAGACAACGACGACGATCCTCCAGAAACCTTGACGTCCAAACCTCCACCACTGTCATACACAAAGTCGAAGCCTTGCAAGTTCTTCGCCGCTACAGGCCGTTGCCGCGATGGAGACGCATGTAGGTTCAAGCACGAACTGAAGCCAGGCGCTGCAAAAGCCTTGAGGAAAGAGGCAGACCACCTCAAAGAGGCACGACGACGCGATCCGTATGCGCCGATCCTAGACCAGCCGGAGAGAGGCTCAAAGATGACTATCCACCAACGATTGCTCGAACAGGAACAGGACGCAGAAGAGAAGCTTGCTCTACAGGTGATCAAATATCTCGGCAAGCTTGGGATGTTTGATTAGAGAGTCGACGGGCTGTCGGCGTTACATTAATGCTAGCTGTGAATAGCTATTGTATTGTTAATATATAACAATGCTCGTAGCGATCGATGTTATCTACGCGTATTTGTATCCCTTTCCCTTTTCCTTTTACTATACTATAACTTGCCGATACGTTGCTACTCTTACGCTTTCGCCCTAGGTCTTTTAGAAGATAAGATAGTTCTATTATATTTCGCGAATTCCTAAACGCTAAGATATATACGACGCCTAACTACGCGCTTCGAGCCGAATTCTCTAATACTAAATCCTATACTATACTAGATTAATTTTAATAGAATAAATAGAGATAGTATACTATATATAGAGATAATATTATATCGTAGCTATATTATAAATTAACTTTAACGAATTTCTAGTACTATATTATTATACTATTAGGACGAATACTAGAAAGCTCGAGAATATAGAAAGTCCTAGTATTCTTAATCTTTTAGAAAAGTATAGTAGATATATTCTATTTCGTAGGTATCTTATATATATACTAGGTAATACTAAGTCTACGAGATTTAGAAGTAGCTAAATAAGAGTATGCTAAGACTGTTATTAAACATTGTAAGTAGATTTATTCGGTTATAGGTATATAGTACGACTTTGTCTAGCTCCTTTTTATTATTAGTATAGAAGCCTATAGATATATAGAGCTCGAGTAGTATATCGAGTACGAATTCCTTAACGCTATATTACCGACTAGATAGGTTAATTATATACTAGTACTAGAATTTCTACGAAGGTTCTAGTAAATAGGAAAGGATAAGATACCGAATTAGATAAGGCTCGCTAGGGAAGAGGCTAAGAGAGATTATAAATTTAAATTTCTAAATCTATCTCTTCTACTAATTAGAATATAACTATCTTCTTTTTTATAATAAAGATACGAGAAAATTATATACCGATCTAATAAGCGCTCGAAAATTTCCTAAGTATCTAAAAATCCGAATAGAAAAGCTAGAAACTATAGAAACGTAGGCGTATAGATAGCGTAGACAAACTAGTACTAAATCTAACTCTAGACGAGCTTTAATATACCTAGTAATTAATGCCCTCTTCTTTAGCCTTCCCCCTAACTCTAATACTAGTACTAAGGCCTATACTACTAATACTCGCTTAGTAGACGAAGCTATACTTTATAAAGAATAAGATAGATCTAGTACTATAGTCTTATATTTAAGATCCGTAGGATATCGAGCCTCCTTATAATAGATATAGTTATAAATACTTCTACTATAAGTACTATCTAGTAGATAGTCCTAAGGTATAGAAATTAGTATCTAGTAACGTAGTAGACTATCTTCTTAACTTCTTAAGGCATATAGTATTATTATCTATCTAGATAAAGATCCGCTATAGGGCCGTATTAGTATCGATAAAATATAGGTAGTAGGCGAGGGCAACGAGGTAAGGCGTACGGCTACTATTCTAAGGAATATAGCGGAAGCTAATATAGATAGATTTAGGTAGGTAGTAGCTCGCTATACTATAGTATATAGTATCGCTTATTCTTTCCTTGTTTCTAGGGCTATTAAAGAGATAATAGTATTAGTAGTTAATCTATATATAGACAAGAGTCTTCTAAAGTTATATACTTTAATAATAGTACGATTGTAGTATAACTTCGAGAACTAGCTAAAGAGGGTTAAAATAGCGCTTCTTAAAGCTATTAGTTGCCTCTATATTAGTACTAATATAGAGAAGGCGTAATACGGCTATAAGTACTTCTAAGCAATTAAATATTAGTATATTAATAAGTACGGCAAGCTTACTTAAGTACCTATTAACCTACCGCCGCTATAACAAGGCTCTTATACTAGCGACTTTCTTACTTAGCTATTAATCTCGTACTTTAAGACCTTCTTAGTAGCTTATAGGCTTCGCTAGATAACTACTAATAATATAGCTAGTAATAATACCCTCTACGAGTCGATTAAGCTCTATATATATAAGAAGGGCTATATATACTAGACTAAGTAGAGCCGTCGTCTACGCTACTTTAGCTATATTATTAACCTAATTATTTAAGCCTTTATATTTGCTAAGTCTACGGAAGTAGTAGAATTAGCCGAATAAAGAGCGCTCTTAGTATAGCAAGTACTATATAGTAACTAAGCTAAAAGCGAGCTATAAGGTCTCTATATCTAGGTATTTAGATCCTAATATAGAGTACTTTACTAAGTAATCTCTACTATAGCGTCTCTACTAGCTAACTAAGGTCCTATAGCGAGAGAACGACTTCTATAACGCCTTTAAAGAATTAGCTAAGATATAGCCGAAGCTGCCCTCTACCTATTTAAGGGCGCTAGGTAAGACTCGCTAGAGTAGCTAGTTACTAATAATCGAGGAGGCCCTCTAAATAAGGCCTATTCTTAACGCCTTGTTTATTAGTATACTATAGATTAGTAAGTACCGGCTTACCGAGGCAGACTAGCTTGTTTTTAAAGAGATACGTCTATTTCTTATACTATTTAAGGAAGCGACTTAACGTTTATAAAGCTATAAGGTTACCTTCGACTACTTCTAAGAGACTATAGACTAGTTACTTACTTGCTTCGAGCGTACTAAGAAGTAGTATACTAAGCGAGAGGCTATAATAAAGGCTATTTGCGTCTCTTAGTATCTATTTAATAAGTACTATTATCTAATCGACGATAGTAGTATCTACGTTACTATAATACTATTATATCTAACTCGCTATAAGGTATAGCTTCGTAAGCGTTAGTCTAGTAGTAAGAAGAAGGACTAGTTACTTATTAGCGGTAAGTAAGTAAGTCTATATAATTATACTAAGGAAAGATTATAAATTAGGCGCCTATTAGCCCTTATCTACGTACCTATCTAGTCGTTATTTCTTAGATTTAAAAGGCCTATCTTAAAGAGCGTCTCGCCTTTTAGTCTATCGTAAGTACTAGATATAACTTCTATTAGAAGGTACTATATCGAAGTTAAGCTAGGCGCGTATAGTCTAGACGAGACGTCTCGTAATATAGCTAGCTAATTTTAGAGCAGAGGGCGGCTAGGTAGCCTAGCGGCGTAGTACTATAGGTACTTCGTGCAGTCGGTTATAGAACCTTGTATAAATCAAGTCCTGTTTACATATAAGCCAGCGATGCTCAAGTGCAGTAGCAGTACTAAAATCCAGAATTGTTCAAGCGACAAGTTTCTCGACCTTTAAAACTATCATCGTATATGAAATCCGGTACGTCGTTATCTCTGGAGTACTTGGCTTATTTGACTGATCCCATGAAGTTAGATATGGCAAACATCAGTGTCAGCATCCTTGTGTATCAAGCAGAGCCATTAGACTACTGGTGGACTCGTCACACCGCACTTTGGCTACAATTCTCCAATGGCTCTCCTTCCACCTTGGTCCACATCGTAGGCCCTACAGGCGGATTCACCTTCGAGCATAGAGAAGTGCCCAAGCCCTGGGAATCGCAAAGCTTCGCGAAACGTGTCGAAGTGGGTGTCTTGAGCCGACCCTCGACATCTGCGCAAATCGTGGCAGCACTCCGAGCAGTACAGATTCGCAACGAAGACCGGGAGTTCAACTGCCAAACTTGGGTGACAGCAGCATTGGACATGCTGAAAGGCTATAATCTCATTTCGGATGAGATGCATGCGGCAGGCGTGGACGGCATGGTTGAAGCTTTGTACGAAGCCAGAGATACAGAGGGTTGAATTACGGTCGCTGCCATCGTGCTAAGGCTTGGAAAGTGAGGAGTTCTCGCGTGTATTGCTTGTCGAAGATGTTTGTAGCGTAGTCTTTCCAGTCCCTGCAAGCTGTGGGCCTGTCGAAGAATTTCACATATTCCCAATACTCCGGATACCATCCAGAATACTCCCAGTCCAGTATTGCCTGTATTCGACCGTCTTTCACAATGACATTCCGGGGCGTGAGGTCACCATGTGTGAAAACTATCTTGTTGCGGTTATCGAAGGAATTTGTGATTGCCGCTCGGATCGGTGATGGCGTGGTAGGGAGAAAATCTAGCACGAACTCATTGAAGTCTGTCTCACTGCTGAAAGGGCCGCCGTAATAATCTGTGAATTGGCGCAAGTCCCGAGCTGGACCTCCCAGTGCTCCGATTCCAGGCTGATTGGGTTCTGCTTCACGCATAGTGTTGATAAATTGCTTGAGCTGCTCTGCAATGGAACTCTTCTGTTCCGGGTCCATGGAGGGCCATGCTTCTTCGAGACATTCTCCTTCGGCGAATGCCATCAAGATCTCAGTCCTTTGGCCATCAGAGATCAGGTCGTGGACGACGGGGACCGGAAGTTGCAAGGTGTGCGCGAATTGCAGCGCTCGGCCTTCCTCGACGTGAACACGCAGACCAGCTTTGCGAACCCCAAATTTTTCCTTCGCAATCAAGCAATCGGACCGTCTTCCGCAGACGAGAGTGCCTGAGTCGTCTTAGTACCTATGTCTTGAGACTCTATCCGGGGGCCAAACCTTGAGGATCCCGCCTGAAAGCAGCCCTTCGTGCTGCGGGACTGGTTTTATCGCTTTCCAAGGCGGCTGGGTGACCTTCGAAAGGGTTGGGCGGATCACAGCCCCCGTTCTGCATGTTATGGATGCGATCTGTGGTATATTCCTCGAAGACAGTGGTGTGGTGTCCTTCAAGATATGGAGTGTCTTGAGTAAGAAGTCATGTCAACAATGCTTGTGCTAAAAGCACTCCGGAGTTCAGTCGAGAAGCGCAGCGCATACAGAATGACGAGCTGAAGCGACGTGCGTCTTCCGATACGGATCAAAAACAGTAGCTGCCTTCCAGAGCCGATATAGTGTAGCACAATGGGTAGGAGCGGTTGTCAAATAATTTGGCCCGAAGCGCGCGGTTAAAGGATGTATCTCAGCGTCCCGAAAATTCGAGAAGCAAAATAAGGCGACCTTGTCTTCCAAGAGACCCGGGGCTTAAGTACAGCGTCTCGGTGATAAGTTGTAGTCGTGTTGGCGATGCAAGGAGAGATGTAGGGTCACGGTGTTTTCAGGATGTGCCCTTATATATAAACACGGTATAGACGTCTTCCCTACCTAGCGTATAGTCCTACCCACTATATAGCGATTTTCCTAATAAAGTCGCCTACTTTGTAATACTATAACTTAATAATACCGTAATAGATTTACGTTAAATTTTAGATATAGAAAGATAGAGATATCTTCTCTAAGTTCTCTTATTCTAAATTGAATTTCTAGTTCTAGAATAGGCATAGTAGTACTCTATCTAGCTATAAAAAGTAGATATCTTAGAATATTTACTACTACTACTAGTATAGCTTAGTTTTAAAGTGGAATATAGTAGAAACAAGTATATATACTATTAATTAAAATAGTATAGAGTATATAAAGAATACTATTAGGCTACTAAAACCTTACTACTAACTTAAAGTAACTAGTAAAAGCTTTTTTAAAAATGTTTAAAAATAGTAGTTTTTTAGTAATATAGCTACTCTACTATCTCGATTTAAGTATCTAGAGTAGTTCTAAGTAATAAAATACTAACTTAGAGTTTAAAATATTTATTAAATTACTATATAAATAGTAAAATAATATTTTATATTTCTATTATATTAGAATATATTTTATACTAGTTAATAGTCTATATATAGCGAAATACTACTTAATATATAATATAATAGTAAGAGTAGAGTATACTAAAGATTTAAAATATATACTTAGTAGTTATATATATTCTATATAGTAAATATTTCTATTTAGATTTTTTAGCTTTTACTTAGCTAAGTATTCTATATATTAGTAAACTAAATAGATAGTCTTTCCCGCTTTATTTAAAAGTCTATATATATATAAGAAGGGTTATATTAGTAGGTAGATAGGGTAGTAGTAGGTATAGGTAGTATTTAATAAGAATCTAGGAGGAGAGAGAGGAAGGCAGGTATAAGAAGGGTATGTTAGTAGGTAGATAGGGTAGTAGTAGGTATAGGTAGTATTCGATAAGGAGCTAGAAGGAGAGGGAGGAAGGCAGGCAAGTTGGCCTATTACTAAGCGCCAAGCCCTGCCTAAGGCACTAAGACCCTAGCTTCACTTAGCCTAGTTACATACTAATCACGTATAGCCTCTTTAGCCCTAATACACGCTTCCCTTCTAAAGGCCGCGCCCTCGTAGCTAGTCTTTGTTCTAGTCTTAACCTCTATTACTACTAACTTAGTAGGTCTAATAAGCCGCTTAGTCCGCGCTAAATTGAACGTATAACTACCGATTATATAACTATATTAAACCTTACCTTCTAATACAATGTCTAACTCTAACTACGCTATCCTTATATATAATAAAGTAATATATAACTATAAGAATTAAGGACTATCGACTAATTATAATACGAGCGCACCTTCCCTACTATAATAGGTAGGTATACGGGGTATTATAGCACTGCCCCCGTTCTAAGTAATATCGTACCGAGTTCTTTACGTCTACTCTAAAAGACCTAGCTATGTCCGCTTCCGAGGGTTATCCGCTTCCGAGGGTTTGTTCTTATTATTACGAGGGCTATTATTGTTCGTAGTTTCGCTAGCCCTAATTAGTTAGGTTTAGTAGCCTTCAATTGTTAATCTTATCTTATCTTTTTAGAAAAAACATAGCTCGTCTAGTTTCTATAAGTAAAGGCTATTATAAGTGTAGTAGTAGTGTTAGGACTAAAGAGGTTATACGTAATTAGTATGTAACCGGGCTCGAGTAAAGCTAGGGTCTCGATGCCTTAGGCAGGGCTTGGCGCTTAGCAGTAGGCTAACTTGCCTACCTTCCTCCCTCTCCTTCTAGCTCCTTATCGAATACTACTCGTACCTACTACTACCCTATCTACCTACTAACATACCCTTCTTATATAGTATTCGATCCACCCTTTAAGGGTAGTAGCTAGATAGTCCTTATTTCAAGCTTTTAGCGGTATAGCTACGAATAAGACTAATCTAACTATATTGCGCCCGAAGAACGGGACCTATACGTACTATTCTATCGAAACAACCGTACTAATTATCAAGCAAGGCCTTCTATACGGCTTATTATACTAAGTTAAGCATACTAAGCCGATACCTACTAATTCCGCTATATCCGTATCTTAGGGGCTAATAATACATTATTAGTGTCGCCCCTTATAATAGCCGGTTTATTACGAAACAACAACCGTGCTACCGCTAGTAGCGCTAGCAATAACAACGCTAGTAGCACAGTTCCCGCTAAAGCACCTACTAAAGTGCCTCCTACCGAAGAGCCTATTATAGGACCTACTAAAGAAGAACCCGCAATTCTAGGTAACGACTTAGAATTGCCTGTCGACGACATTCTTAACAATATTGTTAACCGTCGATATAGCTAGCTAGCCTTTAGTCCCTAACTAGTAGCGAGACTTTAAGAAGCTATCTAAAACAGGCTTACTGCCTTACGTTAAGAACAACAGCTAAAGGATAATCTTCTCGAGATTCGCCGCCTCTAGGAATCTCTAACAACTACTGCTAAGCTAATAGCAGGACCTTCTTCACTACCTATCTAAAAGAAGGATGCTAAACTCAAGGACTATACCGTGTTTGATAGCTCTAGTCGAAAGCAGTATAACGACTACATTTGTAACTGTAAACTTAACTAGCGCAACGCACTAAGAGCGCTGCTAGACGACTATTCCTTAGTCGTACACGCTATGCAGTACATTAATAGCGACCTAAAGCGTATATAGGATAACTATTTTGACTCCCTTAACGATTAGACCGCTATTTAGTAGCAGACCTACAAAACTATTATGCTAGACACCCTTAGAAACCCTATACTAAGGCAACAATATGCTTAGGATTAGTACCTTCGAGCTAAGCAAAAGACTGATTAATCGGCCCGCTTATTCGAGGCCTATTTAAAAACCCTTAAAGACGACCTTCCGCCTAAGACTAATTCTATATAGATCTCCGAGATACGCCTAAAACTTAGATAGGAGCTTATCCTCGAATTAGACCGCCGCCGTGTGTTCGAACAGACTAATCTTATACGCATTCAATTTATAGTTAAAGTAGAGACTGCAGAGCGTGCAGTACAGCTATAGCAACGGTTAGAATCTAAGATACGACTATCTACTAACCGTAGCCGCGGTAGAAACTAAGGAGGTACTCCCTAAACTAACACTACTAACAATAGAAACAGTAACGACTAACGTAGAAGAGGCAGGGGCCGATACCGCGATAGAAACCCCTAGCGAGGAAGAGGATAAGGAAGGGGCTTATTTCTATATATCCCTAATCGTTCCTCTAATTCTAGCACTAATTCGAGCGGACCTAGCGGTGCCCTAACTAGATACAAGTGCTTCAATTGTAACAGCACTACTCATTTACTAGGCTAATATAATAGGCCTCGAGACTAGGCCCGAGTCGACCGTACTGCCGCTAAACACCGAAAGCACCTCTTAGCCGCTAATGCTACCCCTGTTAGCCCTTCTAACTATTCGAAAAAAGAGTAAGCGCCGCACTAACTATTGGCCTCGTACGGCGTAAGACTATCGACATTGTGCTAGCTATTATACGTACCTGTCTTATATCTAGGCCCGATACTAACTATAAGGCAAAGGTTATACTAGACCCCGGAAATTTAGTTAGCGCCCTTATTAGCTATCGCCTAGCTAAGCAATTAGACCTTCGACAACTGCCGAAGACTAACCTGCCAACCCTTGCTTAGTTTAATAACGCTCGGTACTTAACCTACAGAGCCTACTATATCTATATAGCCCTAAAGGACGACCTCGGAAATGAACGCCTACTAAACTTTACTGCCTACGCGGTAGACATAAACAGCCTCCTATCCGACATTGTTATCGGCAACCCTATTCTTAAGTACTATACTATAGTTATAGACTTAGGCAGTTAACAATAGCGATTTAGAATCGCTAGGAAAGAGGACATTAAACATATCGACATTAGCGAGTGTCCTAATAATATTAGGGTCCTGTTTATTAGCAACCTAACTCCCGCCTTAGCTAATCTAACTGCCGACCTACTCGGTAGTAATAACGATGAACTAGTGCCCCCTAATAGCATAGATCCTAAACAGCTTAAGCGTATACTAGAACCTATTTGAGAGACCTACATTAATGTGTTTAAACACTACTTGGTATCGACATTGCCTATATTTAAAGAGACGGATTATAAGATTGATATTATAGAGGGTAAAGAGGTCCCTTTTGGACCCCTCTACAACCTTAGTGAACGAGAGCTTACTGTATTGCGTAAGTACCTAGAGGAAAACCTAGCTAATAGCCGGATACGGTATAGTAACAGCCCTACTAGTGCCCCTATCCTATTCGTACTAAAGAAAGATAGTAGCCTACGCCTCTATATCGATTATCGGGGGCTTAA